AACAGTTGGCCTCAGCGGGATTCGAACCACAGGACAGGCGGTCGTCTACAATAAAATATGTTTACGCCAATAAAACTTAATATAATACGCAATAACCAGATACCCCGAGGCAGTCAATCAGTCCAACGAACAAATGGGATCACAACTAAAATCAAATTAAGTGGTATTACTAAGCCCCTACCGCAGTGGGAGGGTTGAATTTTTGTCAAGTTTTGTTGCACAAACGATGTTGTAGTTAAAATGCATTGATTTTGCGTGTTCTAATAAATTACAGCACAACACTTTGTTGGAGAAAAATGCTGACTAAAGCTTGAAGTAATTTCTTGAAAATAAATTCATGTTTTTGGTAAGAAATGGTAGCATGATAAAAAAAATCGGTTAACTTTCGGAAAACTATAGTTTGTACGAGAGCGTTAATTTAACATCGACTTAATATTAATATGAGATCAGTTTTACTAATGTAAAGCAAAGTGACCACCAATTTGCCTACCCTCAGGATCGCCATTAAAATCATATTTTGTAAGTCGTACAAAACAAATTGAATCTGAGAAGCGGAGTCGCACAGAAATTGCATTACCAAAAACGCATCGCGTCCCCATCGGGGTATAATTAATTTATGTAGAATTTGCGGTTTACAACGGAGCGGTGAAGATGTAGAGACGCTGGAAATGGTTATTTGCACTAGGATCAAACTGAAAATAGTAATTTTTCTTTATTTTCTTTTCTCTTTTTCATATAGTTGAATGTTTATATACAGGGTGGAATTTTGTAATGCCACCTGGAGGGAAAGTACTCTTAATATTGTAGATAGAAAAAAATTCTCAAAGAAAACATTCCTTTATTTTTTAAAAGAAATAGAACTGCATTCAAAGATTTTCAAAATTTTGCTTGCCACACCCGGGAATCGAACCAACTAAAATCTGTTAAAAATTACACCCTGTATTTTTATTACATCGATCGTCAGGGTTAAGTATAAGGATGAAATCTCTGTAACATACTTGATAAATCAAATGAAAGGAAAACCATGAAATCTTAAATTATTGTAATAAGTTACAAAAAATTGTATGGTATGGTAGTGAATTTTCGAAATTTTTTCGAAAATCTTTGAATGCAGTTCTCTTTCTTTTCAAAAATAAAGGAATGTTTTCTTTTAGTAAAAATTTATATCTACAGTATTAAGAGTACTTTCCCTCCAGGTGGCATTTCAAAATTCCACCCTGTATACATGCTAAGATCAATGCTAGTGACGTTTATTTCATGCTTGAAAGAATATTTCACATTCTGTCTTCACTATACTGAGAAAGAATAAAGTTAAAACGACAACTTTCAGTGTTTGGGTTAAATAAGCTTTTTACATTGATTGTTTATTTTTTTAAGCACGCTGAGTTTTGCAAAAACGGCAACTAGACCATAGTAAATATTAGAGTACTAGATGGTGCCGGTTACAATTTTTTTAAATAACTTAGTTCAGAATGGTCAGAATGTTCGTTCATTTTCTCGAACCTCAACAATATTGCTGGTCAGAGTTCCACCTACTCCTTCCACGGAACCCTACATCCAGGACACCGACCAATGCACCCCTGGGCGGGGGCGGGGAAAGACAATGTCGAACTAGTGTAATCAGGTTAGCGAACAATTTGCCTGTGTGCCCATGCGTGGGATATGCCGCAATCTGCTGTGCGATTGCTTTTTTGAGCCGCTGTTTCGATTTGCAAACTTTATAGTGCTATGGAAATTTCGCTGGGAAATCCTTTGAATTGTTGGCTTTGACTGTTGCAGCAGGAAGCGCATTGAAATAAAAGTATGATGATTGAAACGTCTTGAGTCGTTTTTTTTGTATTCAGGTACATAAGTAAGTAACATGAAATTATCCATAGTGATACCAGTGGGATAACTTCCTTCGTATAAATAGCAACTGTCATTCTACTATTTTTATTTAGCCACGAAAATTCAACATGCTTTCTGTTATTTAAAAACTGAATCTACTATAGTAAATCCTTCGACATTCCTCTAAGACTCATCCGACAATTAAAAAAACCCCTAACTATAATCCGTCCCAAGTGTGCCGCCTCCCAATTACACTGGACACAAAATAAAAAGCAATGTCATAGCTCATTAAAGCGCGGAGTGCGTCAAATCTGTGTATTGAGACGTGCGCACGCGCAGTTGTGACCAATCGCTAATCCGGGTCTCGTGCGAGTCCCGTGCGAGTCGCGTGCGGCGCCCGTGCGAGTGACGGCAACTCGTGAGCATCGTTAGAAATATGCAACGTGTGAAACGAGATTGTGTTTTTGAGTGCATTTGATTTTGACAAATTGAAATGTAAGAGATGGGTAGGGAGGAAAGGGATGCTGAAAGATAAAGATAGGTCACTATTGGGTACATTTATCTCTGGAATATCGGAGTACATTTACCTATAAAATAACTACAATTAGGCACTACTAATAAAACTACGTCCAAAATGAATCTTTTGGAAGGATCTTTTACTTTTTTTCCAATAATTTGGCTCTACCTAGATACTTTGTGAGAAAAATGTGCCAGTGAAAAGAAGCAGCGAAAGAAACCCACTCAGACACCATTAAAATCATGTAGTAACATAGATATTTGTGTAGATTTAGCACTCAAAACTAAATCACTTGTGAAATAAATCACACAGCAACGTATCACACAATAAATTTCTATAACCTGTCCGTTCCTAACAGGCAATTAATATAATGAATTGACTCCACCACCCTCCATTTCCCGTTTTCTCACATTAAAAAAACTAACATTTATATCCTACAATAGTTGCATTATATGTGTGAAATATTATATTATAATGGCACGCGACTGCAAATGGGTTAATACGTGTATTAAGGGACAAAGGATAAAAAAGGGAATGACATTGATATCATAATCAAAATATGAAATGATTGGGGGAGTCGAGTGGGATTTGTCGACGCCCGCTGTTTGTTTTAATGTTTTCGCAATTGATATTTTGTTTGTTGTTGGAATGTGTATTTTGGGTTTTAGAGCTGTTGACACTTTCTGAAACTAGCTAATTTTTAATCTAATATTAGCTTACCCACTTCTAAACAAATATACAATATAGATTTACAAAAAATAAATTTTATAAAATCCGATTTGTATGAAAATTAAAATAATTAAAATGAAGATATTAATTTTCTGACTTCACCATACCATTTATATGACCATGTTAACATGGGCTAGTGTCGGCTCATATACCCATTTACCTAACACCCTGTATAACTACTCGTAATGTTGATTAATGCTTCAGCGGACCTTTGACGCAAAAATACTGACTAAACTATCTTGTGTAGTTATACCAAATGACAGTATCTGATTAATTTCAGGCTATATTTTCAGGATTTGCTGAAAATAAGAATTTTGAGCTTAACACACACTATAAATCCGTAGCTTGGGAGCGTGGAATTTATTTCTATAGAAATACATTTTTTTCAATGACTGCCGTTAACGCGCATTGTGCGGCCAGCACCAGACGCCACTTCTCCGTTCGCACGAAAAACCGATAAAAAGCGCCCAACACGTGCTGGCATTATACGATAACCGTTGGGGGCGGAATTAGACAACCCTAGTTTTCTCTAATTCACTCTACACTCCAATTTCCACCTTATGACTACGAGATAAAGTGTGTTTTTGGATTGTTATTAATTGATTAGGAATAGGGTTGACGAAATTAAGACTCAGCTCGAAGGGTTTAATGTCGAAAATGGTTTGGGAGCAAACCGTTAGTAGGGTTGCCAGCATTTTCTCTATTTATTGGTGGGAAAGACGCGTGTCAGATCTAACACCAGTTTTAATATTTTGGGTCGCGTGGCGGCCACGTGCGGGCCTTTGGTAAAAAACTGGACGAGCGTAATTCGCGTTTTATTGTCGCATTCTTCGTGTTAAATGTTATGCGATTTTTTTACTCTGTGGTTATTGGCAGAGCTGTCATTAGCCGAATTGGCTGGTTTCTATGTGGCTGGTGTTGAATGGACGTATTGGAGTTTGCAATGAGTTAAATTTTAATGTTGAACAGTTACTCGTTGGCTAATGAAACGTATTGTGAAGTATGAGAAAATTCTATTTTATTTTAAATTCACCAGAATGAACTTTCGGAACTTTTTAAATGCAATGTAGTACATATTTATGTAAGTAGGTAGGTAACGAATAAATAATATTTGATTGACTGGATGCAAAGTGGATAAGATTATAGATAATATTAACTTTATGTTACATAATTGTCATTAAGAACCCCTAAACACTGTAGTAATGTTATTTTTCACGAATCTCGAACGAACAGATTGAACTGTTCTTTAACAGCATGCGTCTACTCATAGTACTACTTCATTGTACTTAAAAATATAGATACCTAAAAAATATTTACTTTTCTATTTAATATTTCAGGTCAACGTCTCTCTCAAAATAAAAAATACAAGTCATCTAGCGCCATCTATAAACTGCATTTGAAACTAGCGCCAGGGGTGGCCCCATACACCAAAGGGCCAATTTCCGTCCACGTGCCGACAACAATGCGATATGAAGACTATACTGCGCCGATATTACTGCGATATAATAGCGATGTCATAATAATGCGCTGTTTACATTGAAGGCAGGAAATTGCCTTTTTTGCGAACTATTCATAGTATTTAGCGTAATATCCTTTTTTTAGCGCAGTGAGCGTAAAAATATACATAATTATTGGTAAAAATTGTGTCATAAAAAATATGTAAATATTAATTTTATGACGGTTGTGATATTTTGATGAAAGATGTTGAAATGTGTAAGATATAAAGTTGTCATTTTATAGACGCGTTTTGATATTTTTATGACATTTTTTATAACCTAAGCTTTTATTTTATAAAATAGAAAATAGCCTATCTGTCTGTTTGTTAATAGATTTGTTGAATGTTGAGTTCACGGTTTACATGGTAAGTTTTACCTCTGTATAAGAAGGGAATATGACGATTTTAAATAAATAAAAAGATAATTTAACTGTTAAATTGTATATTAAAAGTAAAACAACCCAAACTCATTTTCGCTTAAGTCTAACACAAATCGACGACTTCATTCTTCTGGAGTTTCCAAACAAAACAAAAAATAATAAAATAAACAATAACTCTGTAGAAACAAAATAAAATAAAGAGGTTTAGTCCGAATCGGACAGCTGGATGCCTTCCTGAAAAAGGTAGGTTTCTTTTAATCATAATGTTGATGGCTTACAGAAATTCATAAATTATGATTTTTAGTTATCAAGATTGCGGTCAAAATATTTGTAACTTTCTCATAATAATTGATTTAACATTATTACTACGACAGTAGACACCCTTTAGGTGTTAAAGCGTATGTAGCTTGATTTGTTTTAAAAGCATATTTGATTTTAGATAACTCTGTTTAAAACAAGCAACCATTTTACTATTTTTAGACAGCATAATAAGTGTTTATTTTTATCGATTAATTATTTAATTGTAAGTGTGTGGTATGTAAATATTGTAAAACTTACGTCAAATTCTCCGATGAAGATGTCAGAGTCATCGGACGGTGGGGGCTGGTCGATGTTGTCCACGGCGGTTATTTGCGGGCCTAAAAAATAAAAAAATAAATAATCACAGAGCGTAATTTGTGGGAGCTAGGTTTCAAAAGTCATAATTTAAGGTTTGTTTTGACGCTACCTGTAGGCTTAAGATGCGCGCCGCGTTAAGCGGTTATCACGCCATTTTATCGATTTTGCCCATACATTTTGACGTCGATAAAAGTTATCACGGCGCGCATCTTAGGCCTACTGGTGTAGAGCATCAGTTTAAAATATTATAATTATTATCAGTCGATTCCGGGCCCGAGTTTGAGAAACCTAACTATTATACGGATCGTTTCATCCACGAAGAAGACGCGCCCCACGGCCCCACCAATTTTTGGCCGAGGGAAGCGCGGAATGCGTTTGATCCGAGCAATCCGAACGTCATTATTGTAGTGTGCGTGTGTTGATGAGCACTCATGGATAATTTAGCGTGTACCGATAACACTCAAACATTAGCGGAAGAATGGTAAGGCGCGTCGTCGTCATATTTATAGTGTTTCACTCACCCATGGGGATGCACTCCATGGGCTCGAACAGGTCCATAGGGATGAGGTCGAGCGGCGGCGACGGCGCCGGCGGCGGCAGCGAGCAACTCGACAGGCGCACTGCGGATACCAACAACTACGTAAGCGCCTCATCATCAGGACATTTCGCCGGGAAAAACTTATCCAACTCCAGTGTAGCCAGGATAACCGCCAATAAAAACCCAGCCTGACCGCCAATAAAAACCCAACCAGTGAAGGCCATGGCCGCTTGACACGGTGGGAACGAGAGGTGGGAATACGTGTACGGGATACGCACTGCGGATACCACGACTAGTAAGTACCTCATCATCATCAGGCTCTGGGAAAAACTTGACCTGGTTGGTTTCTTAATGACGGTCAAGCTGTAGATCCTGGCTGCACAGGAGTTGCACCGAGGGAATGAGAGGTGGGAATAGTAACTATGTTAGTGCATCCTTATCATGATTAGCTCATTGAATGTGCATGACTCGATATAATTCACCAGATGCAAATATAGGATTTTGCCTATACTCTTCACGCTGGTCTATAGGCAATATCAATTTAATACTTTGTAGTTCGCCTTCCTACTGCCTACACTGCGAACTTTCTAGAATGGAAGTGCAAACATTCAACACCCAATACTAACATTCTAGTATGATGAGAATAATTCTAGGAAGACTAAGGCCCAGAACAGACCGTGAAACGCAACTGCAACTTTCTGATGATTCTTATGAATGAAACTGAAACTAAAAGTTTCAAACTGGACGCGTCATGTGTGGTCTGATGGTCTCTCAACGGACGCTATGGCAGAAACTTAGATGCAACTCAAAAGTAACTAGCAGTTGCAGTTTCGTTGCAGTTGCGTTTCACCGTCTGTTCTGGGTCTAACGGAAATATTTCCCCTGGAATAAAACATTTGTTTCCATTCATTTTAAGACTCACCAGACTTAATCGAAGAGTCGTCAAAGTCATGAGCGTCCAGGCGGCCGGCGACGTCGGGCGTGCCGCAAGGCTCCACCTTCACCTCCCCAACTGTAAAACGTTGTTCCTGGATAGTCTGGCCTCCTAGAATATTGGCCTAGTTATTATAACATTCAACATTTTAAGGTAGAAACATCATCAAATAATATTAATTAAATCTAGAGTTGTGTTATTATTTGGCAGCTGCGATACAAGCGTGAGCTTAGTGCAGAAGCCGCTGAAAATGTTAAGTCTGTACTACTTAATAGAAATAAAGCTATTATTTATTTATTATTTATTAGTGGCCATGACAATGTATTTTGGTGGCAATGTTGCTTTTTAGTTAAAACAAAAATAATTTAATTACTTGCGGTCTTTCGTTTCCTCTTTTATTGCACGAAAAAGTCACAATCCGAACTTGATGGTTCATGTATTTCTCTCAGTGTATTCTTTAATCAACCTCTTATACCTAAGTTACTTATTATTTTATTTGTATTTATTCAGGTGTTACTTTAAAAGCGTTAAATAAAAAAAATGTTAATGTAATGTCAAATCAAGCTCAATAAAGACAAGAAAATACGATACCGTCCTTCGGAAGACGACACTGCAAACCGTCGTTTTAATAAAACTATGTCACACACGTAGCAGTACGAATTTAAATATTTATTAGAGCACTATGTAATAACACGTTCCAATGAAGCTTGCCCACCACCACTTCGGGAAAACATATAGGCCAGTGGCCACTTTTTTAAAAGGATGGCTAAAACAATTTGGATGACATTTTCACGAAATTATTTAGACTAACATTGTATGTAGATATTATTACGTTGTCATTAGGAATATTAAAAGTTTTCTTCATGATATTTTTACTAAGACCGCCTAAATTGTGCAGTTTTGATTTAGTATTTATGTATTTATTTTGAACGTGTTTTGTGTAGTGTATAACAAAGTATCTATACGAACATACCATCAGCAGACAAAGCAGTGTGATAGGCATGGTGCGGCTCCTCGACGGACAGATGCAGTCGTCCGCCGTTTTTGATCTTCGGCACCACGATGGCCACCACCGGGACTCGAATCTGGACCGCGCCGCCTATTTCTGGACCTGCTGCTTCGTTGACCCCCTGATGATAAAATGGTAAATAACTTGTATGATACTTCTTAGGGCATCAACCACAAGGTGGACCGACGACCTCATAAAGGTAACAGGAAGGCGCTGGATGCAGACCGCTACCAACCGGGCGATATGGAAAGAAATCATTGGGGGAGGCCACTGTTCAACAGTGGCCGTCCTGTGGCTGAAATTAATGATGATGATGATGATGCATTTTACTACCAAATATTTTCTTACAAATTTAAAATCTACTTCATCTATTAAGTAATAAATCGATGATTACGATACCACCATCATTCTATGGATCACTCAAGAGCATACTTGTTTAGAACTGAACACCAAAATTAGCTAAATGCTGCAGTATCTTTAGTAAACTTACCTCAGAAAGATCGTTTTCATCGTTCTTGAGAACAATTTTACCACCCACTTTCAAATCTTCAGCAGTAGCTGGGACCAACATCTGATAAAAAAACGAATAATTATTACATTAATTAAAACACATTATAATTAAAACACAACTTACTTATACCATACATAAAGCTTAATTTCAAATTATTCAATAGATCTACGATCTAGTAAACGAACCAAAGTCGCTGACATAGCCCGACGTATTAGCAAGCTGAAGTGGCAATGGGCAGGGCACATAGTACGCAGAACTGACGGCCGATGGGGCAGAAAGGTTCTGGAATGGAGGCCGCGTACCGGAAAACGCAGCGTGGGACGTCCACCTACAAGGTGGACCGACGACATCGTAAAGGTAGCAGGGAAGCGCTGGACGCAGGCCGCTACCAATCGATCAACATGGAAAGCATTGGGGAGGCCTATGTTCAGCAGTGGACGTCCTGTGGCTGAAATGATGATGAATAGATCTACCTGTTTCCCACCAGGGAGCTTCGTATCAATAACCTTCACCAACACAGGAGTTCCATTATTCGGCTTCAACAACGCAAAGGGGGTCTGCCTAGTTGCTAAAGCAATCCCCATGTGATAGGTCTTGATGGGGTCCACAATGACCCCGCTGCCCATGGCTCCCATGGGGTTGTCCTGGCCCCAGGATGCCCCAGATTCAGGGTAAGGCTTAGGAAGCTCCCAAGACTTCTGCCAGGCTGATGAGGATCCGTCAACTGAGGCTAAGTAAGGTCCGACTGAAGAGGAAACTTCGCAGTGGTCGCTTTGCGGTCTGAAATTATAATGGCTGTACAATTTTATTGAATCAAATACCCTTTTCATGCTTTGCCTGTTGACCTAATAAAATAATAAGTCCTACACATGGTATAAACGGCTGGATGAGGGCAGCGCAGGACCGTTCATTGTGGAAAACCTTGGGGGAGGCCTTTGCCCAGCAGTGGACGTCATTTGGCTGAAACGAACGAACGAACGATGGTATAAACACGAAAAAAGTTTCTGTTCTGCTAGAACCACTGCAACTTTTTTCGTGTATCTCTGCCCTAGGGGTAGTTTGATTCCTACCTCTGAAAAACAAAATTACCTATGTACCAGTAGAACTAAAGGAGTAAGACCATAATAGGCAACTACGTGATTTACCTATAAGAAAAATTATTTTTATTTCGAAAACAATAGCGATACGTCATATAGAATACAATATTAATAAAGATTAAGTTTAAGGGTAAGTAAAGTTTACCTCGATGAGTCTGGTGTACTTTCAGCCATTGGAAGACCTAAACGGGGAATGTTTCGGCTTCGAGTATTGATGGGAGGGCATCCGTCATCAGGATGAGCCTAAAATATAAATAGTTGTTGATTCTTACTATCACCAAATACCATGAGATATTCCATAAACTTAAGGGAATTCAGTTTACCTTGTTCTTGTGACAGACAAGGTTTGATTGTTGGTTGAAACCCTTCAAACAGATGTTACAGCGATAGGGTCTCTCATTCGTGTGTGTGAAAAGATGGTTTCTCAGATTTCCTGAAATTCATAGCATAATAAGAAACAGATTTTAATGTTTCTCGTTCCATTTCAACTAAAATAGAGAAACACCAGCGGCCGCCAGTCTGCTTGTGACCACGGCTGCAGCATACCAGCCGAAACGTCAAGCCGTGAGCCTAGGTAATAAAAATGTAGCGTTGAGACCCGTTTCTCTATTTTAGTTATTATGAAACAGCTTGTAGATTTTAAGGTTATGTAGGAATAGGATAAGGAAGTGGAATGTAACCTTTCTGATGGAATCCTTTAGGGCAGAAATGGCACCTGTAAGGTTTCTCATCGGAGTGGGTCTTGCGATGGGAGATCAGGGTGGAGACGCGGTTGAAAGTCTTGTGGCACACCTAGATAGAGAAAATGTTACAGATTTATCAGGTTGGTCAGTTTTTGGAGAGAAAGAATAAGTTATAAAAATTAAGGAACAGAAGACGTGCAAGAGCAAAAAAGACCCTTGAGCGGCGAATGATGCATAGCTCCGTATTGGTTTCGACGTTCAGACAGCAGTGATTTAGCCATGTGCTTATATTCGTCGTCGTCGTCGTTTCAGCCAAATGACGTCCACTGCTGGACAAAGGCCTCCCCCAAGGTTTTCCACAATGAACGGTCCTGCGAATGCGATGCCCGCATCCAGGTTCTTCCCGCGACCTTTACCAGATCGTCGGTCCACCTAGTAGGAGGCCTGCCGACGCTACGTCTTCCAGCCCGTGGTCGCCACTCGAGAACTTTCCTGCCCCAACGGCTTATATTGCTTTCCCTTTATCTCATAGCATACTAAAACAACCTTAAGAACCTGAAGAACAATCCTTGCAAGCGTGTCTTACACTTGAGTTGAATGAACAGTTGAGACGACTCTTTCTAGACCAAGTGTAGTTACTAAATTATCGCCAAACGCTTTTACTAAAAAAGAAAGCATCGGGGGAGGCCTATGTTCAGCAGTGGACGTCCTATGGCTGAGATGATGATGCTATTAATAAAAGAAAATAAAGGAAATAATGATAAGTATGTACAGTGTACAGACCTCGCAAGCGTAAGGCCGCTCAGCAGAGTGTATGGCTCTATGCTGGCTGAGGGTAGACAGCTGGCGGAAGCTCTTGCCGCACGCGTCACAGTGGAAGTTGCGCTCGTCAGTGTGCGTGGGTAGGTGGCGCATCAGCGTGTACTGGTGCTGGAACTCTCGGCTGCCTGGATGGAAAATATTCCATTACTAAAAATACCGAAGTAAGTATCGTCATCGTCATTATTTATTTATTTTCCACTGCAGGAACAAGATTCAAAATCAGTCAGAGGCAATATTTTTGCATAGTTTGCAGTCAGCACAAAACTATGGAAAACTGAGTCAGCTAAGTAGCTAAGCTAATCTTACTAAGCTCTTGCTCTGCAAGCAGAATAGTTCACGTATTTGTTGTCCCTAAACTAAGGCGCAGACCACCGATTTTCAGTTGGCCGATAGTTGGGCCCGAATTTGTATGAAAAATCGGCATAAAGAGTGGGAGAACGACGGTACACGGTAAAGTAAGTATGTTTTCAAATATAACCGCTGTATACAGGGTGGAAACGATAAGTGATCTCACTCGATTATTTCTAAACTATACAAGATATCGAAAAAATGGTTACTGATCCTGAAAGTGCTTGACGAGCTCTTTCAAACGGTATTAATAATAGGTTACAGAATAAACTTGACTATCCGAAAATTCAATGTTTCCAACTTCCATACATTTGGTAAAGTTACATAATATTAAAAACTACACAAGATATCGCAAAACTAGTTACTGATCCTAAAAGCGCTTCACAAGCTCTATCCAACGGTATCAACAATAGCTTACAAAATAAATTGGATCTATCCAAAAATTCAATGTTTCCACCTTCCATACATTTAGTACTATCACAGTCATGGCACTCATCTCTTGATAATATTATAGCAAGTAGAGCTTAAAACTAATGTTTTCCACAAATAATTTCAAATAAGATGCAAGTTACGAGTTTATTTAACCGACTTTTTAAGTTTATTATTTAACAAAAAATAAATTACACTTCTAATATTGTGTGGTTGGCATACATTTAGTAGGTATGGAAGCTGGAGACATTGAATTTTCGGATTGTTCCAGTTTATTCTGTAACCTATTATTGGTACCGTTTGAAAGAGCTTGTGAATCACTTTCAGAATCAGTAATCAGTTTTTCGATAGCTTGTATAGTTTAGAAATAATCGAGTGAGATCACTTAACGTTTCCACCCTGTATGTTCAAAGGACAGATCAGGAATACTACAAACTCGTTTAGGTACTTATCCTACCCACCAGAACTATTTTCGTAGAACATAGAACTCCCATAATCCCATATAGCGTGCCCAAACAAATATTTCGACAACCCAGGACAGACTGTCCTGGCGCCTCAGAAGGAGAGCCGACCCCAATTAATGGGAAACAGGGCTAGGGAAAAGTAGAACATAGAATTCCCATAAAATCAAATGGATTATGGTCTCGTACTCACATATCCCGCACTCCCATAGCTTGACGGTGCGCCCGTGTCGCTTGACGTACTTCACGTAGTGGAAGCGAGAGCGAGGGTCTGCCTTGTCCACTTTGCATGTGCCCGAACCGGTTTTTGCGCGATCTAGAAATGATAAAGTAAACATTTTATGTAGGTTTCTAGCTCTACACTCTTTCGCTGTCAGTAGTTGTAGTATCGAGATTACTCAACAATAAAATATCTATTAGGTTTAATCTGGTTCTGCTTGGTGTGATCAACACTTCAACAGGTAGGTACTGTATTAGGGGTAATGGAAGATCAAGATTTGGTTCCCGAGTGGGATATTACGCATTATTGCAAAAAAACACTGATGCCTTCCAAAAAAAATCAACTCCATAATTTTCAGACAAATACTTTTCGCGATTAATAAAATGAAAACTGTTTTCGCGCTTGTCTTTTCGCGCAAGTGTCCATGTGCACAAATGTCTTTCGCGCTAAGTAGTGTCTTTCGCGCTAAGTAGTGTCTTTCGCGCTCATGTCTTTTCGCGCTAACGTCCATTCGCGCTAGTGTCTTTTCGCGCAAGTGTCCATGCGCGCAAATGGCTTTCCGCGCTAGTGTCTTTCGCGCAAGTGTCCTGATACGCATTAGGTTGGCTCGCCTTTTGTACTTGTTTTTTGGTTGCAAATAAACAAATGATGCTTACCGTTGGAAGTGGAGGACACGAGGGAGGGCTCCACATACGGCTTCCTGCTGAAGGTCAGCCCGTTCCTGGACGTCGAGTGGAACACTGAGCTTGAGGTGTCCGCCTCTTGCGACTGGCTCAGCTGGTGGGAGGTGGAAGAAATAGAATAAGAAAGATGGATTCGATGATCAACACACACATAATATTATTATTATACTAGCTGACCCGGCGAACTTCGTACCGCCTTAGCGTAGAGATTTTCTTAATATTTTTTTCCGTAAGAACCATCCTTGGACTTCCACAAACATTAAAAAAAAAGAATTATCGAAATCGGTTCAGCCGTTCACACGTGATGCCGTGACAACGCGAAACGGGTTTCATTTTTATATATATAGATTATTAGCTTTCCGCCCGCGGCTTCGCCCGCGTGGAGTTTTGTCTTTCACAGAAAAATTTTATTACGCGCGTTCCTGTTTTAAAAACCGGGATAAAAACTATCCTATTTCCTTTTCCGGGACTCAAACTACATATCTCTATGCCAAATTTCATCAAAATCGGGTCAGTGGTTTTGGCGTGAAAGAGAGACAGACAGACAAAGTTACTTTCGCATTTATAGTATTAGTATAGATAATTTTCGTCAAATAAAAAGAGCGTTGGAGGGTGTCGCTACTTGTCTCCACGGAAAACATAAAACAGTACTGAAAATGTTAGTTCGTGCACTTACGACATACGACATAGGAGATCTGTGGTATTGATTTAATAGAGTCTAAGTTCAACTTGTGACCACCTAGATTTTAATCAAAATTATTCGACCATTCTAAAAACAGTGGAATTAAGAACTCTGTTTGTCTAACTAACTACACAGTAATAAGTATTTTTTTTTTTTTTTATGCTAGACAAGGCAGGTATTTGACCGCAATCGCACCTGATGTTAAGTGAGATGCAGTCTAGGATGGTACATATCTGCCCTGTAAGTGCCTATTCACTCTCGCCTTGAAAGCGCCCGGATTATAGTGTTCAGGAAATACAGCAGCAGGCAGCGAATTTATAGTATAGTCGACGACGTATCCGTAATAATTTGTTACGGCCACGTTCTACATACTTAGAATAATATGACGCGATTAGAGTCGTCAAATTAACCATCATCACTTATCATCCATCATGACCAAGCAAGTTATAAAAAGTAAACCTAGTTATACGTCGCACTGTAAGGCACAGTCCTCCCCCAAACTGTGCATCGACACCAAATCTTCAATAAAGAGGAACAGCGTATTCAAAACTTCTAATCTCCGTTTACCTTTAGGCTGAGCACCTAGTAACGCATATTATAGTCTCAATCTAATTAGGTACCTACAAAATTGACTGAGAGCAAACTAGAGTACAAAACTTACCTTCATCTCATTCTTGAAGGCAGCATCCAGGTCCTTCCCAAAGGTGGTTTGCCCTGTAGTCCCGAACCCCGGCTCGGAGACGAGAGAGGCGATGTTGCCGTCCTCTTCCGTCCATGCGAACCTGGCCTGCTGCTGATCCAGGGTGTCAGGGAAGAAGCCATCGCGGAATAAGGATCGGGAGACGTCCAGCTATAAGGGGAATTCGTTCGTTTCAGGTAGTAGGCCTAGGATACGCGCTACGATAAGCGGTTATCACGCCATTTTATCAATTTTGCTCATACATTTTGACGTCGCTAAAAGTTATCACGGCGCGCATCTTAGGCTAGCAGGGCATGCATTTACTTGTTTTGGGGACAATAAACGTTAATTTATGTATGCTTAAAAATTTTAACTTTTAATTATTAAAAAGTTCACAGGTTTCTTATCCATTGGGAATAACAGGTAAATCTTTAATGACAAGAATATAGTTAACTCCTAAATCAAAAATGTTAATAATTTGATATTATGAGTAATATAGTAAATAATTTGATTAAATATGATAAAATAAATAATTTTATGAAACGACTTTCATATTTACATACGAATTTGAGTGAATAACAATAAGTATTATTTAAACCACATAATTTTATTTGAACATCTTACCAATACCCAAATCATGTCAGTTTATTTATTTACAGAGCATCCATGTTTTACAACATTTGGCGGGAAAAAAAAGTTTGTTACTTGCTTAAAATCAAAGAGTAAAAAAAAACTTACATCATTCCGCCCGGAGCTCGATAATAGCGACTCGCTGCTAAACACCAAGTCCTTTTTGTCATATTTATCAACTAAACAAACTTCACGAATGCTGCAACAATAATAACTCAAGTAAGCAAACAGTAAATAAAACATAAGCGAAAACAAATCAACATGGCTCCGGAATCATTTCATTCCAAAATAATCGAAGATCGAAACCTTATTATCTCGTCCCCCGGTCGTAGGTAACTGTTATCTGGTATTTCTTTTATTTCTTCATCCGAGAACATCATTTATTTTTACCAATATTCAATTATTTCAACAAAAAACTCGAGAGTCGCGTCAAACCGTCTTTTTTCGGGACGTCTATTGTTCTGTCACCATGGCACGCCGCGTTCTAAATATGAATTTTGAGTTTGGATTTCTTTTTAAATTTTGCAAATGGCGTTTTGGAAATTGGTTCATTATGCGTGGCCAACTAGATCGAAACTCTTTGGTGGAAAAATATTGTTGTGATATTTATTGAAATGCAACAAACTTAAAATTACTTACATTTCAAATATTATTTTATAAAAAGGCTATCTTCTGAGTAAATTTTCAAGAGGTTTATTATACCGTCTAAGTGGTCTGCTCATTTCGTTCCTGGGGCCACTCGAAGACTTGAAGAATACTTAAAACATCCTTCCAGTGTTTGCCGAAGGAAATTTTGTAAAAATAAACGCTCGACGTAGGCATAAAGTATCAATGTTGATGTTACGTAGCTACGACGCTACGAGATAACCTAGGTTTCCATCTTACAATTATTTTGTAAACATTTTATATTTTTTTAAATGTAAGTGTAAACCTACCTAATACCTACTTTCACAAAATATTTTGATTTTAGTTCCTCTTTTGGATATCGCAGCTAGCAGAAACTATGAGTCAATCATTAGGGTATCATCATCATCATCATCAACAGCCCTTTACAGTCCACTGCTGGACTATGAGCCTCCTGTACTATAGTGGAGGGTTTTGCCATAATCCCCACGCAGGCAGACAGTTTGATCGCATTTAGGGTATGATGGGTACAATTTAGTTTTATTGGGTAAAGTATTCCTCGAAGGGCAAAAGATTAAAAAGATTTTGATAGTTTGATAAAATGAACCAGGGCTACACAACAATTTCATATTCCTATTATGAGGAAAAATTACTTTTAGATCAATTACTTATTTATTCAAGATACTAATTTATACATTTCCAACATTATAACACCTTAAAGTTAGTACTTCTTGCTTTGAATGCTCCAATCGAACTGCCTGTCCGGCGGCATGCCCGCGATAAGGCAACTTCCCCTTCCATTCGTCAAAGTCAACCGGCTCGAAACGACTTATCGACAGCATGCCCCGGAAGTAGTCAAAATCAATACTTAAATAACAATTTATTCTAAATGACTAAATCGTATACAATAAAAATTCTAAAATAATTACATTAAATAATAAACATGAAATATGTAATTGAATATAATATAGAATAAATTCTAAAACCACTCTAATATCTGCAACAATTTCCAGGAAGTAATCAAGTAAAATATTTAATTTTAATAATGGGTTTTTAAATTCTACCAAAATTATTACAATAACTATTTATAAGCAACTAATAATCGTATAAAATACAATATTAATTCTAAAATCATTACACTATTAATATTTATTTGCTCACTAAGTTTTGGTGCGTTTCATTAGGTGCGCCTCAAAATGGGTGCGCTTATAGGAATACCTCAATTTAGAGACATAGGTACTCGTATCAATATAGTCACATTATTGAGAACGCCAATCCCATGTACATAAGTGTCACAATTAATTATTCCTCTAAAGGACTGCATGCCAGTCTTAGTACCGGCTGATTGAGAGGCTCGGTATGCCTTTGATTTGAGCAGATTTGATTTGATTTGATTGAAATGCCGTTCTCGTGTGATGGGTCACTAATGTGTTGGTGGAATGTAGGGAGTAGGTATCTGTAGGCATTGGTAATGCTTGAGTTTGCAGATATTAGAATGCATAATAAGAAAGTACTTATTTGATTATGGACATTGACATTGATCAGTGATCACTTAAAAAAATAATTTTCTATTTGCTATAACTAGGATACCTATCAAAAAAGTTTACCTTGCAGTTTAGTTTATTTTAATATTTTTAACATTATTAAGTAGGTACAATGGAGAGTAATTGTAATGAATTTGAATAAATATGAGATACTTATAAAATATAAATGGATATAAATGTATTAAGATTAAATAAGTAGGTACTTATTTATTCCATTTCTACTATTCGTCTAATAAAAAAACTTGTAGGTAGGTCAAATTAAATATTTTATTAAAAATATTATTACCAGTATGGCCATCTAGTGATAAAAAGTAACGACATGCTTATTTTTAGCGACATCTATCAAGGAGTAGAATAACTATTTGCTTGTGCAGAGTCATCTAGTGTGGAAAGGACAAGAGTTTTGTGTTAGTGACATCTAGCGGTAGCATAGAGCAACTTCTTCTCAATAAAGAATATGCTTTTGCGTATACCGCCAACTCTGCCATCTAGCGGCGAGTAAAAAAAATAGGCGTAGCGTATGAAGTGCCATCTAGCGCTATAAAAATGTACTACTCGGACGTGTATTTTATTTTGATAATCTTTCACTAGGTGTCGCTTTTCACCGAACAGCAAGGATGTCATTGTGCTAATTTTGGTTTTCGAACTTACAGGACTTAGTGTATTCAGTTCTTGTTAGATGGCGCTAAATTAAGTAATATTATCAGAAAATAAATCCCAACGATGAATAAAATTAAAATAATGTTAGGTATAACGGGAATCAAAAAAGTGCAGTAAAATTTATTTCAGTCGGTTTTAACAATTTTTTACTTTGTACTTTTTTGTTTATTACACCAAAAAATTCGTAATTTCCTTATTATGAAAAATATCATATTTATTCCGTTTTGAATATTAAACTACGAAACTGATTTTGATAAAATTTAATAAAACCAACCTGGGATCGTCATTATAATTTGTAATAAAAAAAATACAAATCGGTTTTTAAACGCCGCAAGTTCTGGCTGAGGTAACAAAAATACATACCTAACCGAATTTTTAAAACTTTAGAAGCATTACTAGTGACAAGAAAGAGGACTGGTTAAGTTAAAAAGTTCCTCCTAATATAAAATGAAAGTGAAAACACTAAGTTAAAAGTTCCTCTTTTAATGAAAGTCAAAACATAAGTTAAGTAAGTTATTTTAAAAACATACAAGGCTGTTTGATTTAATTGCAAAAGCCAATAAAATATAAATAAACGCAGTATGAATCTGCAAGTTGTTATCATGGCGATCAAAACACGTCTTTTATCAAGGGGCTGTCACATAGACTAAGATGGAGTGCATGTGGGTCCAGTAAGAATGCAATATCCTGTGTGAAAATAATTAAATGCAAGAGATCGATGCACGCGAGGCATAGGAAATTATTATTTATTGGAGACACGAATTATGCAATTTAATATTGCATGTGGTTAGGAAGCTTGGAGGTAAAAGTAGTTACAACTTCAAATACTTAGGTATTTACATAAAGTTTTGTTCTAAAAGCACAATTTTTTCAAAAACTTTTCATTAATTCAGCGCTAAAAATAAACATTTATTTTGTAGGTTATTGCAATGCATATTATTTTGGTTAGTAACAATTTGATCTTAGAGACTATGTTAGTATTTTTAGTAACAAAGTTCTTAAAAAAATCTTAAAAGCTATACAGTCAAGTCAACCGTAGGCACATTACACGTATATTTGTTTTGTTTTTATTAAAAATTGCATTAATATACATAATATTAATAAGATGCCGTGTTAAGCTTCATTTGCCGTCATTTTTACAATGTATGACATCAGTTATGGATTATACGCTTGTTTGTGGTTATCAATGTCCAATCGATAGAAAATAGAGATTATTAGAGATGGATCAGTATGGTGACTTCAATTGATCCAATTGGATCATTAGACCCACAATCGGTGGTAAATCTGTGGTGTGACGTCACGGATTGATAATGACCGCCATCATTCGCACGTGACTACATGTGTAGTGCGTGGCAAAGAAAGTATTTCTTATTCCTTTCATCTAGGATATTATGAGTACCTACCTTGGACGAACAAACCACTGGACGCGTAACGAGTGACGTTTTCGTCTTTACCCCGCTAGCACTTACCAAGGCTAAATTAGCCATGGTAAATGTTGTCAGGTTGTCACTTTGTCAGTATGACGCGAGCTCTCGAAGAGTAAAAATATCACGAAAAATGGGTAAATGCGCCGTACTTTATTGCAAAAATTATTCCGGTCACACAAGAAATGTTTCTTATCACGCGTAAGTACATTTTAAATCTATTATAGTAGCTATTTTTTCGTAAAATAAATAAAATTTGATATGTAAACAAAATATGATTACGTCATTTTAAAAAGTACTCATTGTACATGTAAATGCTTAAAACATGTAGCATATTTAATTTGGTTGGATTATAGGTTTCATTCATTCATTCACATCTCATTTTTTATGACGTAAAGGGCTTGAAAAATGTCGATAAGTTTATCGATATACCAAACAAACTGAAACTGAAATTATTCAAATTAATTTAAGATTTCCAGTGGATCCAAATAGAAGGAGAAAGTGGATAGAGGCAGTCAGAAGACAAAATACGTGGATTCCAACTAAAAACCACTGCATTNAAAGGATGCCAACGATTTAAATTTCAATAGGTAGACAAAATTCAGAATTCTTAATTATCAAAAATTTTAGCTTTCTCCAGTAACACTGGTATTATTATACTGTGACTCATCAAAGTCATCATTGTCAAAAATATTGACATATCGAGAACTGTCACGGCCAAAAAACTGGCACGCGTCCGTCCTCCGTAAGCGCCACCGCGCGACTGATTGAGATTGTCCAAGCCGTCATGGGCGATTTTTTCCACATTTTTTAACATAGTAACTAAATAAGACGCAATATAAAAATTTCATCCGTTAAAAGCCCTCAAGTTATTTCTGAACTTTAGTTTAGTAAAAGATTCAGAATCTCAAATCGCTTATTTTAAAAATAAAACCATTATTAGAAAACGAATAGAGGTAACTTTGGGAATTTATTCTATCGAGTCAACTTCATCAAATCGTGTTTCCATCCGTTAATAGCCCTAGAAAATATCCTCAACTATGCCCAAAAAAAATTTTACTGTTTAGTACCTCAAAAATGAAAAATGAAAACCTCATTTTCGCCATTTTCTCTGTTACCCGGCCTTAAGCGAAAAACAACCATTTCTTTTCTT